TCCATTGAATCCGTTCCCGCTCTCTACTCCATGTCGCAGGGACTATTTTTAAGTCTCTCCCTTTTTTTTTTTAAAGGTACGTTCAGTTATTAACGTTGGCCGGAGTGTTATATACTTTATCCCTTCTTACAAAAACTAAACGAAAAGTGCCACTTGATTCATTCCATCTTAAAGAGGTCATTTCCTGCCTGGGGCTTGATTTCGCAGTGAGGGATGAGAGAGCAGAAATGAATAAACAAAGCAAAAAGAATGAACGCACACACATGAACAAGCATGACATTAAAACAGCGTTTACGAAATACATGGAGTCAAGAAAACGCTTGCCCTTGTTGGAGTTCCCCAGATGGCGAGCTTCCGGGGAGTCTCCATCCGCCCGGCGTCCCCGTGGATATTGCTCAGAGCTGTTTTCAACAAAGAAAGTAAAATCCTTTTTGTTAACTGGAAAACAAATGAGCTGCGTCTGTTGACTTATTTCCCTCCTCCTCCTCCTCCTCTCCCTTGGGGTGGATAAAAAGGGGAACTGCCGAAACCCGGGATCGAACCAGGGACCTTTAGATCTTCAGTCTAACGCTCTCCCAACTGAGCTATTTCGGCTGCTGTAGAAACGGCGCTGCATTTCTGTCCTCCTCGTTGTCCTAACGTCCCCGCTTCCTGTGCTTCGGGTCTGATGCCGCGAGGCCAAGATCCGCCGTAACAGACGCCTGCCGGGCTCGCCCCGCATCTGCGTGCAGCGCCCTTTCTCTTCTTTCAAGACCACCGCCTCTGAGCAGCTTTCCTTAATCAGGCCTCCCAATACGACCCCAGCCCCTTATTTATTTATTTTTTTTGTAAGCTTTGGTATTGACTGTTTTCCCTCTTCATTCTCTGTCTCCCCAGCTAGAATGACAAACCCAGGAGGAGCAAGGGAGTCATCTGCCTCGGTCATTGCTGTATCCCTCAGCGCCTAGGACAGTGCCTAGCACGTAACAGGTGCTTAATAAATATTCGTTGAATTAATGAACGAATGGATGAATGGATGAACCCTACCTGGCCCAGAGCTCCCCTTTCTCAAAGTCCCTTCTCTGCGCAAAGGAACAAGGTCACCCTTGAGTGCAGCCCCCCAAACAGCCCAAGCATGGCAGGGATGCTGACCATGCCAAGGCCTGGGGGAGGACGCACTGGCAAATGTGACTTGCTTTGGGGCAGTGAGTGACTCAGATCCGGCCTCCTAGCATGGCCACCACACCTGTGGCACCTGCTCAGCTTCAAAGCACAAAGAAATCAACAGGTAGGCATCCAGGTGCAGCTCTCCCTGCCTCCCTTCCCTCTGGGAATTGGGTGGGTGGGGAGTGCTGTCTGGGAGAGGATGAACCAGTGGGGAGGTCCTCCATGCTGTCAAGTCATTTAGTAAGTGTTTGCCAAGCACCTAATGACCCTCCGGCCGGTCCACAAATACAGTAACTAGATAGTTCAGTATAGTAGTTACGCTAAGAAGGAGAATAAACCGAAGTGATGGGATGGAATACCAGGGATGGGGTTAGTAAGCGAAGCCGGCAGCTGAGAAGACGTGAAGAATGAAGAGCCAGCATGTTAGGACCTGAGGTAGAGGCTCTCGGACAGAAGGACAGCTGATGCAAAGGCCCTGAGGCTGAGAACAAGGTTGGCTAGTTGGAGGAACAGAAAGAGCGTCAGCGTGGAAAAGGTGAAGAGGGTGAGGGGGGAGCCGGTGGGCGGCAGGGTCAAAGAGGAGGGCAGAGGCCAGATCTTACCAGCCTTAAAGGTGAAGGGTTTAGATTTTCTCCTGCGTGGAAATGGAGCTGACGGTGTCTCGAGTGTTTATATACCTTCTTAACAGGGGAAGGGGAGGATGTAGGCCACTTAACGAAGAGTTAATATCATAGACCCAGAGAACATTTTGGTGGTTGCCAGATGGGAGGGAGGTTGGGGGATGGGTGAACAAAGGGGAGGGATTAAGATGTACACATTCCCAGTTACAAAGTACAGCACAGGGAATATAGTCAATAACATTGTAATAACTATGTATGATGCCAGGTGGGGACTAGACTTATGAGGGGGATCACTTGCTAAGTTACATAAATGTCTAACCACTATGTTTTACACCGGAGACTAATAGAATATCAATTAGCTGTAATTGAAAAAAAATATTTAGAAAAGGAAGAGTTAATAATTTTTAGGAAAGATGAATGGGCCTTAAAGGAGTTAGGTCGGAGGTATGACCGTTTGTGACAGAGTTCGTCTGGGTGTGGTGTCCACTCAGTCTTCCGTCCTGTGACAAGAGTGTCTTGTGGGGGGAGTGGGGAGGGGGATGTATGACCCCTGGGCTCCTTTTGGAGGGTCTCTCTCTAGGCAGATAAGGGGATTCAGTGAAAGACTCGCGCTGCATTTGCGGCTTTTTAAGTGCCTTCAGCTCAAAATAATCCCGATACCAAAGCAGCATACCCTGAACTCCTTCGGGAGCCAGCCGGGACCACAGGGGACGCGTTCTGCTGCTCTTCCTTAACCCATTATCATTCTTTGAAAACTAATGATGAATGTAACATTCTGATAAAAATCAAATAAGGAAGAAAGGAAGGAAAGAAGGGAAAGGAGGAAGGGCAGAAAAAGGGGGATGGGAATAGAAAAGAACGGAGGGAGGGAGAAAGAAAAATAAAATTCAAGCAGTCCAGAAAGGTAACAGAAAGGAGAGTTAAGGAGTCACCTTATCCCAGTCCTTCTCCCCAGAGGTGACCAATGTCTAGTAAACTGTGATTTACGTGACCTTGGGCAAGTTACACAGCCATTCTTTACGCCTGCGTTTCGTCATCTAATGTGATAAAATGACACCTGCCAGAAGGGTTGTGAGGCTTAAATGAGGGCACACCTGGCCAGCGCTGACGAATACGGCCTGAATACACCTAAGAGCTATACAATTGTTAGTTAGCTACTGATCAGGAGTGGAAGGACCAACCCCAATAAAAAAAAAAAAGTTTAAGTACCAACATACCCGAGCTGTATGTATATACATCAGGCCTGCCCACTGCTCAGTACCCAAGGCTTTCTGCACGCAGTACCTTCTTGTGAGATGGACAACTTTTGCAAGTGCCCTAAATTCACGCCGTTGCAGTCACAACTTCGACGCATGCATTTCCGCGCGCCGCTGTATCACAGAGAATTTTGCAGGGAATATACCAGAGAGGTCTCCTTTTGTTGTAGTTAAAAGGGTACCTTGGCCTCCCCGTCGGGGAATCGAACCCCGGTCTCCCGCGTGACAGGCGGGGATACTCACCACTATACTAACGAGGATGAGGCACAGCTCCCTTGCTTTGGAGGAGTCCATATAAACACAAACTTTCCTTGTTTATGGCGCCCACCTAGTTTAGACTTGGTTTCCACAGGCGCGTCGCCAAGCGCCCCTGGCCGGTGGGCTTCTCTGCGGCGTGGAAAGACTTGCTTGAATCGACGGTGGCTCTGAGCACCCAGAAAGGAATGTATGCGAATGGAGAAAACGTGGGACTTCCTAAATTCTCAGCCTTAGAGAAGGCAGGGGATGTAGCTCAGTGGTAGAGCGCATGCTTTGCATGTATGAGGCCCCGGGTTCAATCCCCGGCATCTCCACTCTCTTTTACCCTTTTCTTTCTAAACCATACGGTGGTAGGCTAAGCAGGAAAGAGGATCTAGACGCACCCCCGTCGGCCGACCCGAGGAGGGAGCCCCCTTGGAGAGAGCAGCGCTAATCAACGTCCGTGAGCTCCGTCACAGATGCCCGAGTCCCTCCCCTTGGGAGTCAGATTCAGTAGTTTGGTGGGGGACCTAGGAATCTGCACTTTTAAACGGAACTCTCCTAGCTATTCGTGTCATCAAGTAGTCTGCAAAACACTGGATTTCTAAGGAGGGTTTTGTAGCTGGCCACGCCGTCGGTTGACTCTTGGGAGCCTAATGCCAGGTAATGTGTGTGCACTCAGCACCTACTGTGTGCCCAGGTAGAGTGTCGAATACTCTGGTTTCTCTGGATAAGACAGGCTCCCGGACTCGATATTCCAGTTCAGGAGGCTAGTAATAGCAAGTGGTGTTAAATTTTATGAAGACAGTAATGATGACGAACGGGGAGGGTGTGGGGACTGCTAGAGATAGTCAGGGGAGCCTGTCTGCAGGAACGAAATGGCAGGTGCAAAGGCCCTGAGCTTGAGGGGGTGGGATGCGCCATTTAAGGGACAGAAAGAAAGCCCTATGCATGGGAGTTCCCAGAATGAGGGAGGCGGCTTGAATCTTCCAAGACACTGAAACGCCGATGTTAGGGATTACGATCAGATTTAGGTTTTCAAGGCTCCCTCTAGTGGCCAGGTGGAGAATACACCGCAGGGCGGACACCAGACCAACCAGGAAGCCCAGCACAGCCTAGGCAGGAGCTGGGGGAAGTGGGGAGCACGAGGGGGCCCTGGACAAATTCTGGAGGTAGTGACAGAACTCGCAGATGCCTTGAATGTGTGTGTGTAGGAAAGAGGGGGCAGAGTGCAGAGAGGGAGGCCGACCTGGCTGGGGTTAGCGGCCACGCAGTGGGGAAATTGAGTACTTTTGTTTTGTCTAACTTGTGCATTTATTTTATGGTATTAGCACAAATTGATTTCAGAAAAATCCCTGTGAGGAAACCGACCCCCCCGCAGGCTCACAGTGCCAGGTCGCCGCTCAGCACCCACCCAGACCAGTTTCTATCCGGACGTCCCCAAGGCCACCCCCAGTCAGAGATTCACTAGGACTCACACGCCAAGGTTTATTACAGACAAGTAGGTGGCAGGGAGCTGCCCATGGGCAGGAGACACCCGCGCAGTGTGCCCCACTCCACAGGAGCCTGGGCCCCCCTCGCTGTAGGGAGGGTGTACTGCATCTGCAAGGAGGGGGCTCAGCAGGTCCTGGCGTCGCCCCCCCTGCTCTCAGCCACTTCACCCTCCAGCTCCATAAGACTAATGTAGTCCACCAGCACATTTAAAGGGGACCTGCACATGGGATAAACTATTATCCACCATTTAATACATAGTTATAAAAAGCCACCACTGGGGCAGACTGCCCAGGGCGGCAGGCAGCAAGCTGTGTCCAGAACCAGGCCAAGATGAATGAGGGTTTCCGGGGGCTTGACGTGCTTCCTGGGGGAGGTCCAGGAGTGGGGGGGCTTGTCAGAAACCGGCCGCTGCCAGGCTCCTCTGTGGCCAGAACAGTTCCCGGCCCGCAGCCAGGCATCTGTCAGAGGTCCGAGGTGGGGGGCCAGGCTTTCTCCACATCGGTGTGCATGGCCTTGGGGAGCCACTCGCAGTACTCAGCCAGCAGGTCTGCAGGGGCGGCAGGGCAGCGTCAGAGTGGCTCTGCCCAGCTGCCCGCTGCAGAGCAGATCCCTCTGCCAACCCTGGGGCGGGTCACGTCCCATCCGCTCCCAAGCCCTGCTCATGGGGCACCTGCCCGCGTCAAACTCACATTTGGGGCTTTTCCTCCAAGCAGCCAGCAAGGCATCTCGGCAGTCAGCCTTCTCAGCCACAAGGGCTCTCAGGAGACTCTCGGTCCTGGGCTGCAGCCTGCGGGGGGTGGGTTGTGGGGCATTACGTTGCCCACAGGCTGGCCACTCCCTGGCCTACCCAGGAGCCACAGGAGGGGATGGGTGAAGGGTCCCTGTCCCTCCACCGTGCTGGGTGTGTTGGCTGGATGGAAGGCTCCAGACCCCATCACGTCCTGACTGCCTCTGACCCACCCGCCCTGGCCCTCCTCTCATTCCTTGAGCACTTGCCCACCCAGGCTGCTCATCCCATCCAGAACTTTCCTCCAAATTTCTGCCTGGTTCACAGCCCACCTCCCCCAAATCCGCCCCGTCAGGCTCGCCTGACCAACCCCACCAGGCCCCATGACGTCTCATCCCTAACATCCTGCTTTGTAACCGTGTCACCACCTGCTATGCATACTAGCTGTGCTGTTTGGTGTCAGTCTCCCTGCACGGATGTCCCCACAGGGACAGGGACCTGCCTGTATCCCAGCAGAGACGGTGCTCAGAACCATCTGCTGGGTGAAGTTGGCTGGCAGCAGCCGGGGAGGGGGCACCTGGCCCCACGTCCTCATCCTGAGTCCCTGCGAGTGTCCACGCTTGTGCCCATGTGCGCCCAAGCCCCGTTCCTGCGCACCTTCCAGAACGAGAGCAAATGGGGAGCAGCAGAGACAGGCAGGGAGAGTGAGGATGAAGATGCTGATGATGGGTCTGTGCTCAGCGGGCGGGAAGCCCACAGGGACTCAGGCATGCAGGACGCCTCCTGCTGGTGCCCGGCAGCTCTGTAGTGGGCTGACCGTGTCTCCCCAAAAGTCCCTGTCCACCCAGAACCTCAGAATGTGACCTTAGTTGGAAAGAGGGTCTTTGGAGATAGAATTAAGATGAAGTCATACTGGATTGGGGTAGGCCCTGAACCCAATGATGGTGTGCTTGTAAGAAGAGAGGACATGTGGGGATAGCCATGTAAAGACAGAGACAGAGATTGAAGTGACGCGGCCACAAGACAAGGAACCTCTGGGGCCACCAGGAGTTGGGGAGGCAGGAAGGATGCTCCCCTAGAGCCTCCAGCCCTGCTGACACCTGGCTTTTGGGCTTCAGGCCTCCAGCACTGAGAGAATACATCTGTGCTGTTTTAAGCCACTCGGTTGGTGGTCGTTTGTTACGGCGGCCCAGGACGCTGATGCCAGCTCCTGCCACCACCGCCCGCTGCCCCGATGCTCCCGGGAAGGGCTGTACCTGGCCCAAGTCTTCAGCATCGTGCTGGGGCTGGACAGCAAACAGCCCTGGTACAAGGCCAGCTTGGGGAAGACCTGAGGAGAGAGCACAGGACAGGGTGAGGGGTCCCCCGGCTCAGCTCCCGCCCACAGCACTAAGGAAAGGGTTGGGGGCAATCTCGGGGCTCCCTACCTGCCCTTCCAGCAGAAAGCGGGCAAAGTGCTTGTAGCAGTCCAGGCCCTCCGGGAAATCTACCAGAACTGCGGGGAGTGGCCAGCCGACGCGATCTGTAGCGCAGCAGACAGTGAGCAGGGGACAGGGGTGGGTCCTCCTATGTCCCTTCTGGAGCCGGAGGCCCCACCCACCAAAGGGACAGACAGCCTGGGGTGACACCACCCAAGACACACACACTTCCTAGTGTAAGGCATGGGACCATGTGTTCGCGGGAGCCCAAGGCCACCAGGAAGTCACCCCAACTCACAGAACGTGCTGGCCCGGTGACACAACACCCGCCCCTTCTCGGGGCAGTAGGCAGGGGGCGGCTCCTCCAGGGGCTTGTCGAACTGGCAGTAAGAAGGCAGCAGGACTGGGATCCACTGGACCTCCACAGTCGAGACACCTGGGGGCCCGGGAGAGGGCTGGGGGTTACAGCGGGCGTGCTGCCCGGGAGGGGCTAGTGTCCCCACCGAGGGTCCCTGCGACACAGCTCACCAGAGCCGCAGTGGGTCGGGCGGGGGGCTGGACACCGGTTGTGCTACCTTTCATGTACATCTTGGTCGTCTCCACAATTTCCTGGTAGACCACAAAGTCGGGGAGCTCTTTGAAAAGGACGGAACTGGGGTGGATGAAGACGGGGTCATCAAGGAGAGGGGTCTGCAGAGAGAGAGGGTGAGTGGGCGTTGAGTCCAGGAGACACGAGCACCCGGTGAGAGTAACCCACGTGAACTCGGCTACACGCTTGGCCAGGAAAGCAGGTGGGCATTCTGCCAGGTGATGAGCGGCATGTCTGTACCGGGGACCAGTATTCAGCCCAGAAAAGACGCTGACGTGTGTGCTGACACGTGCCTCACTCGACACCACCGTGCTGAGAGAAGCCAGACAAAAAAGGCCCCACAGTGTATGATTCCACTGACATGAAATACTTGGGGGTCAGCGAAGCCACAGAGACAGAAAGGAGACTCCCACAGCGGGGAGATCAGGAGAAAATGGAGAGTGGCTGCTAGTGCGGACAGGGTTTCTTTTTGGGGTGACGAAAATATTCCAGAATTGATTGTGGTGATGGTTACACAACTCTGTGAATACACTAAAAACCACTGAATTGTACACTTTAAAATGGTGAATTGTATGGTTTGTGATTCATACCTCAATTAAGCAGTTATGAAAATAATGTTGGGGTGAAGCTAATGGCCCAAAGGAAGTATGACTCCCAAACACCCAACCCTGTTCCCTGGTGGGGACTTTCCCAGAGGCTGCAGGGATACATGACCGAGGACAGGTCCCCCCCCAAGGGCTGCTGCAGGTGTCCTGACAATGCCGAGCCAGGCATCACGAGTGCCCCGGCTGGCAGGACTCGAGACAGACAGAGGAAGGGGTGGAGGGGGAGCCCCGGGCACAGCGACTGCCACGCTGTCTGTCCCCCAAGCTGGAATCCGACCTTGTAGGCATTCCTCCACTTGTCGTCCAGCAGATCCTCGCTCTGGACCCTGCGGGCCAGGTGGTCACCCAGGCCGGCTGTCACGATCTGCCGCAGGTAAGTCACCTGGCTCTCGGAAGGAGGTTGCATCTTGGGGTCCACAAAGAGCCCAGCCTCGGGGCACACTGAATTGACTGGGGGGAAAGCCAGGTGTGAGGGGAGCAGTGAAAGAGATGGCGGGGCTGGGCCCGGGGCTGGCTTTGCCCTGGCCACCTGGGAAGCCCGACACCACTCGACGCTCAGCTCTGGCCTCAGCACCTGCTCATCTTGGCCCCTCCCCACCGAGCTGCTGGGTGGGCGGGAGACGAAGACCCCAGCGGGGCAGAACCAGCTGCCCTCGCCCTCGCCATGTCCTCCTCTTCCTTAGGACAAAACCCCAATGTTCCTCTGTGGGTGGCAGAGTGAGCTGCTAAGAAGCCACCCCCCCGCCCAGATGCCAGAGTGGCCCCAGGACTCGGTCCTGCCCGTGATATAAGGATGGAGTTGCCGCCTGGGATTTTTGGAATGCTCGTCTGGCGCCTTCCTCCTGCCTAGAAAGCAGATGTGATTAGATCTCCAACTGCCTTCTCGGCCCATGAGGTGGCCTGGAGGATGAAAGCCACATGCCAAGGGTGGCAGGACAGCAGCCCAGAAATGTGTGGGCCCCTGGAGACCCCGTGAAGCCAGGGCTGGACCCTACTTGGGATCAGGGGACCCAAGGATGAAGCTGGGGTGCCCAGGGGCAGCTGGGTGGGGGGTGTGGTAGGCAGCTGGTCCAGACGAGAGCCAGGGACAGAGGGTGACGAGAGGGCCATCATGAAGGAAAGGATGCGGCTGAGGTGTGCATGTCATCACTCTGCTTGCTGGTGTGTCCTCAAAGAATGCAAAGGCGCCAGGTGCTGATTTGGGGGTCCCGAATCAGTTTTAGTGAGGAGGTGAATTTGCAAACATGGAATTTGATAACTGGGGAGGGGCTGTACACAGGCAGCGTTGAACATTAAAAGGGCCCCGTCTTGTGCTGGGGGCTGCCCACGGCGGGGGGCCATACCTGCGGTGGTCAGCTGGCCCCGCAGGCGTCGAATCTCCACCATGGCCTTGTACCGCAGCCCGTTGGCCTCACAGAACTGGGGCGAGCAGCCCGCGTACTCGCAGGCTCCCACAGCGCCTGTGGACGAGGGCGCACTCACTCGCTGCCCCACCCAGGCCCCAGGGGGTCCTCCCCCCTCGGCCGGGGCACATACCCAGCAGCACCATGAGGTCTCCGAGTTTCAGGGAAGCGCCTCGTCCTGCCCAGGTCCTCTTCATCTGGGCCACCCGGGCGCGCCTGCCTTTCAGCGTGGCCAGCTCCTCGTCACTGGAGGCCGGTCTGCAAACACACACATCACCCAGCTATTGCCCCGGCTGAGGGCCGCAGGGGCAGGCAACACATATCTGTTCATCGGGGCAGGCGCAGAGGCTCAGGGACAGTGCCTGGTGGGGTCACTAACATGATTAAGGTTTTAAGCTCCAGCTCAAGATTCACCCTAAAATTCACCTCTGGTAGCCAACAAGATAAAAATGTGGGGCTGGCCGAGTGGCGCGTTGGTTAAGAGCTGGCTTGGGACGCCAGAGGGCCCCGGTTTGGATCCCACATATGAGGGCCAGTGACACTGCCCTCTACAGCTAAGATGCTAAACAACAGCTCAACCTGGAACTGGGATGCCCTGAGTAGCCGGCGACGGCGTAGGCTGCAGCCCCTGTGGCAGTGGGTTGCCATAAGCTACCATGTGTGGCCAGCAGCCAGCGTGAGCGGCCATCCAGAAGCCGGTGGCTGATCTGCCTCGCCTGGTAAGAGTGCAATGATGGTGCCAACTTGGGCCAGTGAAGCAACGTCCTCCACAACTAGACTGAAGAACAAAAGGACAGCAACTTGTCTGTTCCCATCCCCCAATAAAAATCTTAAAAAAAAAAAGATAAAAATGTGCATGCTTCCTACTCACAATTAGAGATCAGTATAAAGACACAATCTAACAAATGAGTGACATTGTATATTGCTGTGCTGCTTACAGATAATAATAAAAAATCCTGAAAACTGCTAAAACATATACCAAGTATGGACTGGAGAAACGAATTTTCTCCTGGTTCCCAACCCTGAAAGTAATAGCTGACACTCAGGTCGGTGTCAGGCACACTTCGAAGTCCCTTGCTCATATTAACTAATTTAACCCTAACAACAACGCAATTATTGTTATCATCTCATCCCCATTTCCCAGATGGGGAGGATGAGGCACAGAGAGGTGAAGTCACCTTCCCAAGGCCACATAGCTGGGGACTGGCAGAGGGAGGTTTGAACCCAGATGGTCTGGGCCAGAATGTGGGGTCTTAGCCACAGAGCCTTGGAGCAGCAGTGCTCGGGGAATTTTTTTTTCCGGGCTCAGATCTCGGGGAATTTTATTAAAACAGATCCCGCAGAGAGCAGAACACTGATGGGCGCTGGAGGGTGAGGGTCTTGCACATGACCGCCGCATGAGCCAGCTATGCCCGAGGCCGGGCTCCAGGCCGTCTCTCAGGCCGAGCATGAGGCTGGGATGCCCAGCTCCCCAACCCTACCTGTCCAGTTCCACGAACAGCTCCCGCACTGTCATGGCAGCCACAATGGTGATGGCATAGGGCAGGCAGCCGTGCTGTCTGCTCAGCGCCAGCATCTTGGCGTAGCGGGGCGCCACGGGGAACGTGGCCATGGTCTTGCCCAGCGCGGTGATGGGACAGCTCAGCCGGGACTTCTGCAGCTGCTTCATCCTGGAGGACGGAGGAGGCTTTAGCGCCAGAGCTAAGAGGCCCCGGCGCTAGGGAAGCTCAGGAGAGGGGAGAGGGCCAGGAACGGGGCAGAGACTGGGCCCCCCCACCCATCCCCTGCCCTACCTTTCTGCTTTCTGGGGCGCCTGCAGGGCACCTAGCGAGATCAACAGCTCCTCAGCAGCAATGAGGGCCTCCACAGAGGGAGGGGTCGGAAAGGGGAAGTTGATGACCTGGGACCCAGGGAGACAAACAGGCGACAGAGCTGAATACCCAAACGTGAGCACGGTGACTGCAAGAGGGAGCAGGGCCCGGCCTGGCCACTCAGAAAGGGACCCGGGCACGCTCCAAGTCCATGGGCCAGGGGAACCCCAAAGGCCCTCATCCTTCATGTATTCCCATCATCCCTCACTCAGAAGCAGGTATTGAGCACCTAATGTGTTAATTTACTGAGCACCTAATGTGCGCCGGGGCCGTTCTTGGCCATGGAGGTTGAGAAAAGCGAGACAAGGACTCTGCCTCCACTGAGCTTTCCTTCTCACCCAGAAGGGGCCGTAGATGAGAGTAAACACATAAACAAGAGTAAGTGCGCCCAGACAATAAAACGGCGACAGGACAGGGAGGGACTGGGCTCAGTGACGGTGGCACCTTAGGGAGAGTAACGGATTCAAAACAAGTGTTCTAATAAATTCTTGTACACTCATGTTCACAGCGGCACCATTCACAACAGCCAAAACGTGAAAACCACCAGCGTCCATCAGTGGGCGAATGGATAAACAGAGTGTGGCCCATCCGTACACTGGAGCGTGGTTCGGCCGTAAAAGCAACGAAGCACAGACACACGCTACAGCATGGATGGACCTTAAAACATGACGCCGCGTGACAGAAGCCAGACACAAAGGGACGAACACTGTATGAGTCCGTTTATAGGAGATGTCCAGGACGGATAAATCCACAGAGACAGGAAGCAGGCTGGTGGCTGCCGGGGCTGGGGGAGGAGGGAGAGGGAGTGATGGCTGATGGGGCGGGGCTTCCATTGCGTGTGGGGTTTCTCTGACTGCACCGCCCCTGCTGGAGCAGGAGAGACGGGCAACCCCTGGACAGGGGGCCATGAGGACATTCCTCCTCCTCCCCCCAGGACACTGAGTGGGCAGAGTATTCTGTGAGTCCAAGAGGTGGGTGGGACCTGTCTGCACAGCTTCTGTCCCTGGCAGCCACCCCCGGGGTGCTGAAGGGGCACAGCACTAGAGGAGTAGGGGGTCACAGGAAGTGGGGGGCCCCAGGTGGCTGGACAGGCACCACCAGACGGCATGCCCCAGGCTCCCTGGGCTGTGGGGAAGGGGAGCTGGCCCAGGGGGGTCCGGGGACCGCCCTAGCTGATCACACGGGACATGCGTCCGCTGAGAGGTCAGTGGGGTGACGGCAAGGCTGGGGGCTTCGACTCACCTTTTCAATGTTGAGAGCTTTCATCTGCAGGATCAAGTCTTCCACGGGCCTCCGGGTGATCTCAGGAGGAGGAAACTGATCAAAGTCACTGAAAACTGCAGATGAATACAACCTGAGAGGACCAACGACACAAAACATACATACATAAAGGAGGCGCTCAGCCACACTACCCGACACTGAATCTTGACTCGGCCAGAGGTGTTTATCCTGTTCCCGCCTCATTTTCCTCGCCTGTGAAATGGGGCTAACCTAACAGCTGCCTCGTGGGGGCTGGTGAAGGTATTTTAGGTACCACGCGGAGTACTCAGAGCCGTGCCTGGTACACAGCGCTCCGTAAGCTTAACCACTGTTACTTCTTACTGGTTTTCTTTGTGTACTTTCTCAATTTTGTTAAAACAACGTTAAAAAGAACAGCAATAAAGCTGTTACAAAAAATAACAGCACACAGACTGGAAGGAAACATTCGACGACGTTACCTCTGACAAGGACCTAATGTAGAGAACTCTTACGACCCAACTATCAAAGAACACAGAACAGAAAGAAAGCACCCAGCGCAGGCCCGACCTCAGCAGCAGAATGAGTCAGGAACCTGAGCAGCTGCAGGCCAACGCGAAAGGGCTTGTGGAGCTCCCCCAGGGCACAGTCTCCGGCAGGATGTGGGACCCCCCCTTCTCCTTGGTGGGTGGCTGCTGCAGACCGGTCCCAATGTCACTAGGGAGGACCCTGGGGCACCCCACCTGTAGCAGTGGCCAGGCTCTGTCCGGCCCGCGCGGCCCGCCCGCTGATCGGCGGAGGCCTGGGAGACCCAGGTGACACGGAAGGAGGACACACCAGTGACCCGGTCGTAGTGCCGCTTCTTGACCTTGCCACAGTCCACCACGTATTTGATGCCCGGGATGGTGAGGGACGTCTCGGCCACATTGGTGGCCACGACACACAGCCGAGCACCCTCTGGGGGAGGCTGGAAGACCTAGGAGGGGGATGGCGGCAAAAGGACACCAGAATCAGGAAAGGATTCGTGCGGGGACAAAGCCAGGATATGTCCCTTGATCAGGAGTCGGCCAGGCTGTGTGGGCGCGGAGGCGACGAGGTGAACACGTCCTCTCCTTGCTTCCAGCCACAATGCTCCTAAGCTAAATGCAGGCAAGTGGGAGACCCCAGTGCTCTCTTAAAACCTGGGGTGCTGATCAAACAGCGGATGGGGTGCATGACTCAGGGCCTGCCCTGCTCCATCCTGACGCCCTCAGGAGGCACCCCCAGCTGGGCACCCGCCCCAGGCCCTACTCAGTTACCTTTGCTTGCTTCTCTGGGGCCAGCAGAGAATAGAGCGGCAGCACGTGCATGGGGAGCGAGGCATCCGGCTGCTCACCTGCAGGGAGAGCAGAGGCCCGCTGGCACCACTAACGCCCATGGCAGAAGCCAGCCTCATACTGTCCAGCGCCCCCCTGCTCTGCTGGGTGAACTGAGAGGATCCTACGCCAGCCCTGCTGCCAGCGGCTCAGCCCTTGGGACCTGTACAGTGGGCAGGGAGGCCAAGCCTGGACGGACGGAGGGCTGGGAGGGCGGAGGGCTCTCGCCGGCCCCACTGCCTGACCTAGATGGGAACGCCGGCTCTCTGTAGAACCGTATCCTTGGAAGAGCCTAGCCACAGACCCTACAGCTTGCTGGCGTGCCCTCGGGCTGCCCTACCCTGCCCCAGGCTGGACACGGCCAGGGTTTGGGAACGTCTCCACACGGAGGGCCCCAGCGAGCACCCTCTGGAGTTGGATAGCCCTCCCAGCCAGCCCTAAGGCCTGCGTTCACCCAGCAACACAGAGCCTGGGGCGGAGCCTCCACTACAACCAACACAACAAATACTTGAAGGCCTGCTGCATGCCAGGCAGTTTTAGGAGCTCAGGGAACAACGGGGGACAAGGCTGCCCGAATCCCCGGCTCTCTTGGGGCTCAATGCTAGTGGGGCGCATACGCTCCAGGTCACATCGCTTGACTTGGAGCCCCTGAGGGTGGGACAGAGAAGTCTGGGCCCCAACAGACACGTGCTGAATGAATGACAGAATGGACTCAAGGGCCACACCTCCGTCTGCGCCGTCGTCCCCCAGGTCCAGGTCCAGGTCTGAGCCCAGGGCCGCCTCCTCGTCGTCCATTTCCGCTTCCCTGTCCTCGTCCCCTTCGCCTGCTGGCAACACCGAGTAATTGTCCAAGCTGATGTGGGGCAATATCTACGGAAAACACGACATCAGGACCATGGGCTGCAGGCGACCCCGGGTAGAAACTTACATAACAAGCAGGAAAAACAAGTCCGTTCAAGCAAGGGGCCCAGTTCCGCCACCCGCGAGCCGCGCGGCCATGGCAGGTCGCACAACCTTCTTCTGCCTCAGTTTCCTCATCTCAAAATTGGGGCTAATCACGGGACTTATCTCATAGGGCCGCTGTGAGGGCTATTAGCTAACACACATGAAGCCTTCTGGACACTGCCTGGCATGTTATAAACGCAGCAGGAGGGTCAGTGACTGAGCAATGACACTACTGCTCAGGCGCTCAGGGCCCGGCCTTCCGGAAGCTTCCTCCCGGACTACAGCACAGGGAACCATGAGCACCATCCAACAGAACTTGCTCCCTGGTAGGAACGTTCTAGGCCCGCGACGTTCAATTTGGTCACCAGCAGCCCCAGGTGACCACTGAGCGCCTGAGGTAAGTCTAATATGACTGGATAAGTGAATTTTAACTGTTTTAATTAAATTTCCATCTACACAGCCAGAGGGGTGGGGAGGGGCTGGCATCACCACTCAGTACCCCCTAGCGGGCCCTGCGCCTCCACGTACCGCCGCCTGGGCCTTCCTTGCCCGTGCCCGCGACTTCTTAAACTTCCGCGTTTCTTCCACCGAATCTTTCTGATCTTCCTCTTCTGGAAAAGGTGAGTGGATTAGGGAGGAAGACGTCTTGTGGCCAGGGCCAGGCTATCAGGAGCCTGTTCTTCACGGTACACAGTTAAGGTCACTGCACTGGTGGCCATTCATGGGGGGACGGGAGGGCAGGCAAAGGTGTCGCCTCTTACAGAGGGCAGAGGGAGGCTCCGAAGCCAAGGCTGGTGGCGGCCCAGCCTCGCGGGGCAAAGTGCTCCAGCGGCCGGCTTACCTGGCGGCCTGGCTCGGGCGTGTGGGAAGGCCCTCCTCAGCCTGCGGCACAGCGCATGCACCTCGGCCTGCCCCGTCAAAAACACCAGGATGCCGCCTGCGGGAAGAATGATGCCCGTCCATCATCCACGCAGCAGACATGGACTCAGCAGTGACCATGGGCCAGGCTCTGCTCTGAGAGCCCATCAAACCAGGAGACGCGGACGAGCGCCAGGCAGCCCCCTCCGGGACTGAGGGTGCCAAGACAGGGAGCCTGGCACCTACCCAGGAGATCGGGAAAGAGGGACGCAAAACACAACCTGTGCAGAGCTCACGGCAGCTCCCTGCACAATAGCCAGAGGTGGACTCCACCCAGCGCCCATCAACAGATGGGCGGATAAACAGCCAGGTCCATACACACGATGGAATGTGATTCAGGCATAAGAAAGGATGAAGTGCTGACACGTGCTGCGACCAGGGTAAACCTGGAGGGCGTGACGCTGAGTGAAAGAAGCCAGTCGCAAAAGGCCACGTGCAGTATGATTCTATGCATAGATGTCCCCGATACGTAAATCCACAGGAGGGGTCAAGCCAACTGTGGTGACATTAGGTAAATAACTGAGCAAGTGCTAGGGGGACATGGTAAAAACTGTGAGGGGGATCAGGGGTGAAACTCAGGTGGGACACACCTGTTCACCTGTCCTTGTCTGTGGGCACCTGTGCCAAATGGCCCCTGCCTGGGCCCTGTGGATTGTGCTGCTTATCAGACGTGGACAGAAAGCACCCTCTTTCCCCTGTCACTGAAGCCTCACAATACTCAGGGTGGAATTCGGGGGGAGGGGGGTAGGTGCTGTAAACACTCTGGAACCAGTGAGGAAACTGAGGCACAGCAAAGTCAAGTGACTACTCCGAGCCACCCAGAGACGGACCCGGAGCCCACGCTGCTACACCCTGGGGGGCTGGAAGGGGGAGGCCTGGCCTTTCTCCTCGCCGGGGCTCACCTGCAGGCAGCATCCGGTGGATCTTACAGACCTTCCGGAAGCACTCGCCACTGTAGTCCTCCAGCGGCGTCCGCTTGTTGAAATGCACCGTCACCGGGAACTGCCTGGACTCCACCTGGGGCAGGTGCCCGAGGAGGCCGGGGTTAGAGGCTGCGGGGTAAGCGTCGGCCCAGGCTCGGCCCCTCCCCGCTTTGTGAACGAGCTGACCACGAAGGGCTCAGTTTGGTGCCTCCTGGGAACCTCCTCGCTGCCAGGGTGTCCTCGCTTCCCCGGCTGCCCGAGACCCCGGCCCTGGGCGTTACCTTGACGACCGGGGGCGGCTGGGTGAAGAGCCGCTGGTTCTGGGTGAAGTCCTCGACCCGCAGCGTGGCCGACATTATGATCAGCTTCAGCGGCAGGAGCCTCTGTAGGACCGACAGGCTCGGTGAGCCTCGGCCACCCAGGGCCGGGGAGGCCTCTGCCCTCCCTCCAGCCCCCACACCTTGGCCCGAGGAGTAGAAAAGGTGAACTGATTGCAGGATCTGCCTGTCCAGGGCAGTGGCTTGTTAAAGGAGCCCCTAAAGTCCCCAACGTTAAGCCCTAGTGGGGGGATGTGAGGCAGGCGGGCCGAGCCTGGGGTCCACCCACTCTGAGACAGTGGGCGCGGTCAGCCCCCACGTGACGTTCCCTCACTTCCCCCAGCCCACCGCTCAGTGAGGGCTTCGCTCCCACCACCCTCCACCTTCCCCCGCTCTCTCCTCTCCGTGGCTTCGTCCGTCAGCAGTTCACAGGCCTTCCGCGTCTGCTTATTGCCAGCTGCCCTCACTGAATCAAGCCCGAGGGCAGGAACTGTTACCCTGTGTCCACTGGTGAGCGCCAGGTGCCCTGACCTGGCCTGGCACACACAGAACTAAAATCTCTTTGAGGGAGTCTCTACGCTTGTCAGCATCAGGCAAAGTGTCAACTTCGCAGCAGGACTTGGGGGGGCTATAGTGGGACTGCTCCATGGAGGGTCCCCAGGGCAGCATCCTTCGACCCAGCAGCCCTCTGATGCCCATTTCTGTCCCGTCGGGGGTGGGAGTGGAATGCAGGCCGGGTGCTGGGCTAGCGGCTCAGCGGGGACCACAGGGCGTGGCTGGAGGCGCCACCTGCTCTGCGGGTCCCAGAGACGCCGCCGGTGCTGGTGGGCCTGGCTGGCTGTGCGCTCCCCGCCTGAGCCTCTTGCTTTGGACGGAGGGAAGGGTAACAGCTGATGAGGCTGGACCCGGGATTCCCACGGGGTGGCGTCACACAGGCTGTCACACCGAGACTCACAGCCCGACACTGGGCCCGGGGGGTTTTGTCCTAGGGGGACCCTGTCACAGTGGCAGCCTGGGTGCAGATGGGCGTGGGCCGAGGGAGCCTGGGGACGTGGGGCTCCCAGCACCCCACTTCTTCCTACCTTCGCCCGGAGAGACACGATGCGGGACAGGAGGCCGATGAGTATGTCTGTGTACACACTCCGCTCGTGGGCTTCGTCGATGATCACCACCTTGTACTTCAGCAGCAGGAAGTCCTGGGAGGGGAGGCCACTGGGGTGAGGCCTGCCAGCCCGGACCGGAGCCACCCAGGGGCACTTCACACCCCCAAACTCCCGCTCAAGGAGCCCCTTTAACAGCTGGCACGCATCCTGGCACACTCAGTCTGGGGGCATCTTGGTCTGTGACCTCGGGCAAGTTACTTCACCTCCCTGTGCCTGTTTCCTCACCTGAACAATGGGACTAACAGGACCCACCTTATGGGGTCCCAGTGAAGTTCTGATGACAACGATACCTGTGAAGTACACAGCAAGGGCCCGGGGGGCCTGGCAGAGAAAGCACAGCTACTGCTTATTAGAGCTCAGCTACCAAATGAGGCGCCCATGGAGTGGGGAGGGCAGGAACCGAGAAAGGGGTGGGGCCCAAGGGCAATCGGGCGGCACAGGCCCCACAAAGGGGCCGTCGGACCCAACGCCTCACTCATAGCCTCCTTCCCAGGTGACCAAGGCTGGCCTCAAGGCAGAGGAAGCAGGAGTCACCTGTGCTCTCCCCAGAGACCCCTGCCCAGGGGGGTGTCACACGGTCAGCGAGGAGCAGTGTGCATTTGGCTAATGCACAATGTCTGTGAACCAGATCGTAACAAAAATACAAGCTCACATTGAATAAGCACTTACTGGGCACTGTGCTAAGGGGCACTCGCGCATTCTGCTACAAAACAATTCCATGGGGAAGACACCAGCTTGCAGATCAAGAAATTAAGGCCCAGGGTGGTTAAGTAACTTGCCCAAGGTCACACAGTGGCACAGGGTACATGGCGTTCTGCCAACAGCTGGCGCACCAGCCGCTCACACCCAGGGTGACATCCTACCTACTCCCCACCCTCACGCTCACTGGCCTCGCTTTGTGAGGCAAGGCCAGCAACCCACCTTCTGGATCTCCTTGAGCAACACGCCGTCCGTCATAAATTTGATTCTGGTCTGTTCGGTCACGTTCCCTTCGTATCGGATCTGGTAGGAGACGACCCTATGGGAACATGGTATGGGTTCAGGGCAGGCGAGTTCCCCAGAGGTCTAGCTGCAGCCTTAGGGTCACTGCAAGGTGGGCAGCAGGGGAGGCCTGGCCCCAGTGGGCACGCGGCTAAGGGCAGGGCCAACGATGCCCTCCACGAAGCCAGACCCCTGCCCAGCCCACTGTCCCTTGCCAGTGTGAGGGGGAGGGCAGCCAAACACACGTGGGCATCTTGGCTGGAGCCTGACTGACCCACTGACTATAGAAGCTTTTTAGGAGACAGCCAGGGAAAGCTGAACACGGAATGGAGGGCGCTCAGGAGTTATGACATACTTTTCAGTCGTGAGAAGGGTACTGTAGCTATGTTTTCAAGAGTCTTATAAAAAAGAAAAAAGTCTTGATCTGTCAGACCCAGTGAAATACCGAAGATGAAATGGTATGACATCTGTGACTTGCTTCCCAACAACTGGGGGGCGGGAGGGGAGGTAAGACGGAACAACGGTGGTTGTGAGGTGACGATTGTGAGGACAGGGTGTTAGGGACGGGGGTGGGGAGGGGCTTCCATTCTACTCTTTCTACTTTTGTACGTGCTTGAAATGTTCACGATAGAAAGTTGTAAAAAAGGACAAAAAAAGGGCAGCTTTGTACGTATTTTCAAGGTATACTATTAAATGGAACAGGAAAGATATAAAAGGGTGTGAACAGTTAAGAACCATTTATGCAGCTGTCAGGGAGAAATACGGAATTGCTTGTCTGTGCACAGGACTGCCTAGAGCGATCCACAGGAAACGGGCAGCGGGAGCTGCTGCCGGGGAGGGGAGCTGGGCACCTCACCCACTACCGTGCCAACAGAACAAGCCTCCCCCACTTGCATGCCAGCCCCAAGGGGGCAGGCGGCTGCCAATCCCCACCGCGTCCCGAGAGCCCGGGGTGGGCCTGCACACAGCAGGTGAAGCTCAGTAACATCTGACGACCGGATGGACGACATACCCTCTCTACACTCGTTTGTATTTTCTGAATTTTAGACCACATGGGACGTGCCACTCCTTCGAAGCTGAATGCAGCTGTCTGGACTAAGGCCCTGGCAGCTGCCATAGAAACACGTCCAGCCATTCTTCCTCAAACTGCTTTCTAAGGCAAGTCCTACCGCCTCTCTGCCAGGAGAGGACTGGCACCGGGGAACCCTGAGTTTTAAATGAACTTGCAATGCCAAGTACTCAGCACTGCCTGCCTGCGTTTGCTCACCTGCTGCTCTGCTCTATCTTCAGGCCCCTGTGAGAGTCAACGTGTCCCCTCAGTGCCCTGTGTGATGTGAGCCCAAGGGCCTGGCTGGCTTGTGCCTGCTCCATGCCCCCTGCTCAGGGGGTCCCACCGTGCAGTGCGCAGGAAGCCTTCTCATGTGAGACCCCCGCGCTCAGGTGCAGAACACGCCTCCCCAGGGCCCTCAGGCTGGACGAGGGCGCATAGCGCTGCTCAGACTCCCCTCGACAGGTGACCCCGGGAAAGGCCCCGAAAACCACCCCTCAATACGCCTCCAGGAGGCTGTGTTCTCACCGCTGGGACATATTCATCTCCTTGGCCACTCGCTGGGACATGGCCACGGCGGCCACTCGGCGGGGCTCTGTGACGCCAATGATGCTGTTGTCACTGGGGAAGGGAGAACGTATCAGCAGCGCTCGCCTCACCTGTCTGTCCCAAAGTCACACGCAGCGCCACGTCAGGAATCGCTGCACAGATGTGGCCCCTATCAGGGGTGACAGGCCACACACGGCAGGCAAGGCACCTCAGTACCGCTTAACAGCAAAAGGGACGCCGGCACGCCCGCACACAGGACATGGTCTGACCGTCACAGGAAATGGAAGCCGGGCAGCTGCCAGCAGGCGGGAGGCCCGGGCACGGCGGGCACACGCTCCTCCAGGCACAGAGCCTCCTGAGGGCCCAGGGGCCGGTTTCTGGGCTGCACAGAAAGGAGCCAACAGCAGGCCGAGGCTGCCCTCCTTAGTACGGGTGGCTGGCGAGCCTGGCCCCTGGCTGGCACCTGGGAACCTGCATTTCGGGAAGGTTCCCCCTCTCCCTGATTAGAGGGGCTCGCTGCGCCAGGGCTGTCGTAAACAGTGTGTTTTATGCTGACCGCCTGCTTTCCTTTGGGGACTCTGGGATTCAGGTGCCAGGCAGAGGTGACCAGCCCTCGATAAACAACCTGGGTGCGGAGTCTCTAAGGGGCTTCCCTAGTAGATGACACTTGACATGTGTTGTCACAGCTTGTTGCTGGTGAATTAAGCATGTCCTGTGCAACTCCCCTGGGGGCCTGTGCCTGGTGCCCCAGGCTTCACCCCGGCGCCTTTGCTCTCTGCTGACCGTGCTCTGCGTCCTCTCGGTGCACTAAGGCATAACCCCGAGTCCGACCACAGGCTGGGTCCTGTGAGTCTTCCTAGCAAATCGCTGAACCTGGGGGTGGGCTTGGGGATCCCTGATACACATGGTTCAAAAGTGCCGACAGAAGGTAACATACCACACGATACGCCAGGGACCGATTGGAGCATGTTACATGAATTCAGTCATTTCATCTACAGAGCCACCCTGGGAAACAGGGACAATGATGACTCCCATCTCACAGCTGAGGAAACAGGCCCAGGGAACGAAAGCAGCCGGCCCAAAGTCACACAGCATGGAAACGGCAGAGCCAGGATTAAGGACTTTTGGGGACTACATCTCTGCTGTCACACAAGAGACCTGCGAGGACCCTGTGTCAGCCCCACCTGCTGTAGCCTGCTTCGTAGAGAAACTGGGGCACCTGCGTGGTCTTCCCGCTGCCGGTCTCGCCACACACGATGACAATGGGGTTCTCGCTCACTGCCTCCATGATCACTTGTTCTTCAGAGAGAATTGGGAGCTTTAGCCGTTCTTCCTGCCAGAGAGGAAGTCAGCGTTTAGGGACGAAGGAAAGCCTTGACAGCTGGGGAGGGGGACAGACAGCCACGGCCCATGGGGGACAGAGATACAGGCTGTCTGTCTCTGTCCTTTGGTGCACGAGACCCGAAGTCCTCCGGGACAACCTGGTCAGAGCACAGGGGCCCCGAGACATGGGCACGCTCAGCTGTTGCTGGTGCAGGGGGGGTCACATTTATGGCACCGGTGATGCAGCCTGACCAAATCACAGGGGCGCCATCCCTCCACACCCTCAGCGCCTCTCGGCGCTGGCCTAAGTTCTCATCACAAACACCGGAGCGGCAAACCTGCACTTCAGGGGAGCGGTTCACAGGGATGAAGACGGCAGGCTTCGCTGGGGGCCTGGCCGGGATGGGGACTGCAGCCGGAGGAGCTGATGGAGCAGTAGGAGTTCTGGCAGGAGAGGCCGGACCTGGGCTCCCACCCTCGGCCCCTGGCAGAGCTGGCTGCAAACACGCTGCCACTGTCCGTGCACCAGCCTCTACCCACTCAGCAGCCGGGGCCTCTTCGGCTTCAGACTCCACGGCGGAGTCAGACTCCTCTTCTGCCTCCTGGAGACGGCGCTTCCGGGCCCCGCTGAGGCTGCTGATCTTCTCTTGACCCTGGGCAGAGACCTCGTCAGACTTCCTGCCAGGAGAGCCAGAAATCAGGCCTGAAGGCCCAAGGGGGCGCCTGAGGCAGCTCTGGCCTGCAAACACTCCTCAGAGGCCAGGACTCAAAGGCCACACCCTTCCCACCCCAGGGCCTTTGCACTCGCCGTCCCTGCTCCCTCACTCCCCTCAGTCAAGTGCCACCTCTCAGGGACTTTCCCTGACCCTGCAGCCCAAAACGCCTCTCCCGTCTCCCCCCCATCCTCTTTTCCCTGCTTTATTTTCTGTTGCTTAAGGGAAGCTTCTTTATTATTTTAATTTTGCACTGTCCTCCCGGCTAGAGGAGGGCCCAGGACACAGTCTGCGCACGATGAGCAGACATTAAATGCCCAACAACGCTTACAGGGACCAGGCCGGCACTGCCATAATGAACAGAGCAGAATGAGTGCAGCAGCGAGTCGGGGGCCTAGGCAGCTGATGCGGCCACATGGTCCAGCTGCTCAAGGCCAGGTGGGAACCTGGATTTTAATGTGAAATCTCTTAATTTTTAAGTGTTGGCTGTATTGGGTTGAATAGTGTCCCCCCAAAATTCATGTCTGCTGGAGATTCCTTATCTGGAAATAGGCTCTTAGCAGACATAACTAAGTTGAAGTCATACTCGACTGAGGTGGGACCTACATCCAATGACTGGTGTCCTCATAAGAAAACAGGGACACAGCCATGGAAGAAACAAAGACACACCGGGAGGACTCTACGTGGTGACAGAGGCTGGAGTGACGCGTCTACAAACCCAAGGACTGCCAAGGACTCCTGGCCACCACCAGAAGCCGGGAGAGAGGCGCAGAACAGATTCTCCAGCCTCCAGAAGGAACCAACCCTGCCGACACCTTCGTTTTTGATTCCGGCACCCTGAAGGCCCTGGTTCTGGTCTTCAGAACCACGAGAGTCAATTTCCCGTTGGAAGGCACCCAGGGTGTGGTCATTTGTTACGGCTGCCCCAGGAAGCCAATATGTTAGCCAAAGGTCTGAATGCTTTAACAGCTCTGTATGAACCAAACAAAACTTGCTAATAATGGGCCAAGTCTAATCCGTGGCCGCTTGACGGCAATGTCTGTGCAAAAGCTGGAAGAACCTGTAACACAGGACCCCGCTTTGCAGGAAAACACCGACATCCCTGGAGCAGGAAACTTTGCTGTCCTGCGCCTCGTAGGGTTTTTAGCAGCATCTGGGGCCTCTACTCACTAGAAGCATTATAGCACATAGGCCACCGCAAACGTATTTTCTCTGGAAGACTCGTCACCTGAGAGCCTGCCCCCAGGGGCCCTGGCAGGAGGGATGGGCTTTGGAGGGGGCGGCCGACTTACTCTTTGCTACGGTACAGGCGGTCCCCGATGCCCAGCTTGGACGTGGTGTAGTAGAGTCTCATCTCTGCTTCTGAAACTTGGACCTCACTCAATTTCTGTAGCATCTCTGCTCGCTGGGGAAGGAAACGAGTGCGTTAAGACATTTGCCATCACGGCCCTCTCTTCAGAAGGGAAGTGAGGTGCTCTATACAATGGCAGCATGGCTGACACCCCCTGTCTTTTTAAACTAAAGGTCAAACTGCATTGCACTGCTGCGTGGTGTTCTTACGCCAACAGACGCGTGAGCTGGGGGGTGGCTCTGTACCCCCTCGTGGAGTCTGGGGCTGGGTAAACAAGGCTCTCTCTGCATCACTGTGTGTCATAAGACTGTCAAATATCCAGACGCCCATCCACGGGAGACCGAATAAACAAAGGAGGGCCCATCTGTACCAGGCAGCACGCCCCAGCTGTTACCGCGGGAGCAGCTCTGCATGCCGGGAAGGGGTCCCCACGCTGTCTTGAAGAAAGCAGTGTATGGGGACGGGCCCAGTGGGTTCTTTCCCCCAGTGATTCATGAGTTTTTGTTTTATTATTCTTGAAATTATACATATTCTTTATGTCGATTTCACAATCAATACAAGGAAAAAACAAGGAACCAGAGAGCAGGAAAAACACTGCACAGGATTTTAAAAGGACACACGCACCAGAGAGTGAGCGTCCCCTGTAGTAAAGGGCTCCAGGGACGGAGTATTGGTGCTGCTAAAGGGAGGCCTGTGTGTCCCCTGCTGGAGACCCAGCACCTGTGTGTTGACCTTGATAGAAAGTCAACCATGAATCTCAGGAAGAAGCTTCGAGATTGGGGTTTCTCAGTCTCCCCATTTGGGGACTCAGACCCCCCTCCCCCCATCCCTTTCTCCACAGTCTGGAGAGCCGTGTGCAGACTCTGACAGAGCGGGCGTACCTGGCTTTTTTTCTCCTTCTGTTCTAAGATTTTCTGCAGCAATTTCCGCTCTTTCTTGGTCAGGGGCTTCCTCTTCTTCTTGGACAGCGGAGGGGCCTTGGTCTTCTTTTTCTTCTTCCCCGGCAGGACGAGCACATTGCTGCCATCGACGCCTTTCAACGTGTCCTTATCTGAAAAGACACGCTTGCCTGACCCACAGCCCCACAGGCCCGGGAATGCAGGCACCGGCGAAACTCAGGTTTCCCCACTAATGCCCGTTTCCTCTGGGGACTCCTGCCCCACATGTGAGCCCCCTGAGTACTGGCACGGGGGTGCAGGCCCAGCCACCTCCATCCCAGTATCAGTAAGGGGGTGGTGGTGCATGCTATAACAGTGCTTCCCTCAGAGTGGGGGCCTGCTCTCAGTGAGTTTTTGAGATCAAAGCCATTTTCGTAAAAATATTACTAAGTTCTCTTCAGAGCATGCAGTGGACCAAGTACTGAGTTTGTGTCTATCTATTTTTAAAGGTCACAGTTTGAAAGTATATAATCTAGAGCAAAATTCAGCTATCATATGACTCTTCAACTCCACTTACTGTAGCACC